GGCGGCGCGCCGGTCGTGCCGCACGAAGTGTATAGGACCGCATCAGTCTAGGTCTGCCATTGCGACACGTCCGTGCACTCTCTCTGCGTAGGCGGTCCCGTGGGAAACGATCGACAGCGGAGAGTCCACCTTGTTCCCGCAGTGGCGTAGCTTAGGCATAAACGGAGCCTAAGTGCGGTAGCCCGTTCTTCCGCTGTCTTTGCCACGCCATCGCAGAGTCGAGAAGAAGAAAAGAAGAAAGAAAAAGACGGTACAAGAATGTGACCTAGTTTCCCCGAAACGTGGCCCGTCCTGTGTTTGGGGCAGATTAGTCCGCCTCGGGACACAGCCAATTCCGGATGAGCGATGATATGCGCCGCAGCGGAAACCAATGAACGAAGCTCGCGCTGATACGCGCTACACGCACGCACGCACGCACGCACGCACGCACGCACGCACGCACACACACACTAAAGGAACAGTGTGAAAGAAGCTGGCGGTTCTTCCGTCCCTGTGTTTGTACTTTCCCTAACATCTACTCCCCACTCCGTGGAGTTTAATTTCCCCCCAATCCTTTTCCTCCACTCAAACGATCTTATTCTGATTGTCGTGATATACATGCAATTGTTCTAAAGTTTTCAAAACGTTTTCTTTTTTTTACCGTTTTTCAGTAGCCTAGAGGCCGCACTGAGTTGGGCCCTCGCCAACCGTCTTGGGCTTTTACCCAAGCCTTCGGTTTTGCTTCCTTGTTTCTTTCCTCTGCTTCGTTGGTTTCAAGATGGGCGTGGAGAGCAGAGAAAACAGAACGACGTGCTATAACCGCTTTTATTTCGGCTGTCTTTTGTCGCCGATTTGTCTATTGCTTTCCTAAATATTTTCTCCGGAGGCCACTGTCCGGCGGCGACGATATTCAAAGAGTATTTTTGTCTCCTGCGTTTGCTCGCCGTGCTGGTGTGTTCGTTGCATCCGTATACCAAAACGAGTTCTGCTTCAAATCGTATTCCTCTCGCCCACACGCGGTGTCTTTCTGCCATTTTATATTGCTTCCCTTGGAACTTCTTTTTTGGCGTGTTCGTTGTATATATTTTTTTATTTGTAGTGTATTTATTTTGTGTGTCTGTGATTTATTCTCTTACTGTTCTCTTTTCTCCCGTACCGAGGCGAACTATTTGTAGCCATACTCTTTTCTTTTACCAGAGATTTCATATCGGGGGGCATTGCATTTCGTTTAAAATCAAAACAAATTCGCCTGCTGTCACATCTGTCGTTAAAAAAAATCCTTTTGCAGAGACTATGTTGTGTTGTTTTTTGGCACATTCGAAGATATAGATGTCTTTCTTTACGGCAGTAAACTTAGTTTTTATATTACGTTTTTCGCTCTTCTTGTGTTTTAAGAAAAAAAAAGAGAGTATGTTCTTGGGATAACGCAAATTCGTTTACTAGGCTACAGCGAAGAAAAAGCGAGAAAAAAAAAACAGAAAAGAAAGCTCGCGGTTTCTTTGCAGAAAGTAGAAACAAAATAAAACAAAATGTGCGCCCAAATTGGCACGAATCGGCGAACGCGGCTACCATGAAAGGGCCAAAAAAAAAACAAAATAAAGAACTTTCTAAAAAAAGTGTTTCGATGGTGATCAGCGTGAGGACAAAAATCGCAAACCCGTTCCAACTTCTGTATTACTCCTTGGATATCCCGAGATACTAAATCATTTTCTCTTTTCCGTTTTTTTTTTTTTTAAATTGATTTGTTTTAAAATTTTGGGTGAAGCGAAATAAATGAAAATTTGCAAGAAAACAATCTACAGAAACTCCACTAAAAGGAAAAGAATTAGAGCATCTCGTTAGGTATGCTTCTTCAATCAAGAAAAGCGAGATGTAAAAAAGAAAAGTAAGAAAGAGATGGAAATTTCTGAACATTTCTCTTACCCTAGAGTATATTCGACTGATTGCGCAATAGGTTTTGGTCTTGCTGGAGCCTGAGTTCGAGTCTTCTTTTTTGTTTCTGTTCCTCTAACATCGTCCTTTATTGTGAAACGTTGGAGAATTTGGCGCGCGTGCACTCGAGCGCTTCATCGATCTGCGTTGCACCTCCGTAGCTAATATTCTAATTACGACGTTTGCAAGAACACTCATAAGAATTTCGTTTCTCTCTCGCCTCCCTCTACAATTAAAAAAAATGTATACTTTTTTTTTATCTATTGGAGACAATTACTGGCCGCAGTTTCAGCTTCCAATTTTCTTGCTATTAATTACCGCTGACGTTGATATATATATATATAGCAAGACTTTGAAATTTCGCGGATAAGGAGCACATGCTTCAGTTGGGGTGCCTACACTGGGGTTTTCAACCAAAAATTCCAAAATAAAAATAAATAAAAAATGCGATTGAGGCAAGAAAAAAAATCGTTTTACAGGAACAATTTGTCAGCCATGGCGGCCGTCACAAATTGAAGGAAGATTAAAAGTTGGCCCAATATTCTATTAAACTTTACTAATTTACTTCAAATATAGCTAGAATAAACTAGTGCTTTTTATTAAAACCATGCCGAACATCATCGGAAACAACTAAATCAACTCGTCCTTGAAAGACATAAGGCACGTAAAGCGTTGCACGTCGTTACGGAAAAAAACGATGAATTTGGACGCGTTTCTAGGTTCCGGATTTCTGTCGGAGCGCATATTTTCGCCAGCGGTCCCATTACAATCCTTATATTTCGATTTAAAATGGTCGGCTATATTTTGTTCCAGCTTTAGTTCAGATGCAGTCGACGCTACGAGGGAATGGAACCAATCAAGGAGTGTCCAAAGCGCAAGACACGGGGACCTGTTGTGTTTATGATTGGTTGAGCGATGATCGATCACGTACAGAACATCGCGAACGCCATGATGGTGCCCGTTTGACGCTTTCTGATTGGTACCATCAGCTCGTGGCTTCGGCGGCGTCTGGACTTAAGGTCAAAAGAAGTATAGGTTCGAGCATAGCCTCCTATATACTGACAAAGCCTGGCAGATCGCCACGAGAAGCTGCCGCCCAAGTGGAAGAGGTGGAGCCGCAGACAACAAATGAGAGGAGAGCCACGTGACTGGCGCCCCACAGCGGCGAGACGCCGAAACACACATCTCCCGAGCGAACAAGTGTGCTTCGGGTCCTCGCCGCTGCAAAAGCTGCGCGCTGACGTCCAGGTTCCCCGAGAAATGGCTCTTTGATACTCTGTGCTACCAGAGCCTCGCGGTTCAAATCTGCGACCGGACACTCTATGGCTCCGTCGTCGAACTGCCAGGCTTTGTGAGTATAGAGAAGGCTATGCCATCACACTACAACCGATAGGGGGCACAGTTGGACGCAAATGCAGCCTCAGTGTTTGGTTGTTACTCGCGTCCGCCAATGGCATCGGAAGACACTCGGTGTCGGGCTCGGGGACCAGCCGCTGTGTTTGCGCCATCGTAGCGTGATGTCGCGTCATGACGAAATCGAAGGAAATGAAGATGCTTTGCTTAGTCTGGTTAAGGTTTCCGGTGTCCGCCACACTGCTCTAGAGCTCGGCGTGTCTGAATTCCTCAGTGACCGCAAGAGAAATCGCCAGCTGTCTTGACGCACCAACGAAAATTAATAATTTTTTTTAAAGTAAATATAGCATTACCCATAACGAAAATCTTTGACGGAAACAAAATGGCGTCTTTCAGTTCATATTGTCGCGGTTGGTGACCAAAAGAAAACAGGAAATAAACAGGGAGAAATAAACGTTTAATGTGGCGAACTTGTGCCGAAAATAAAGAAGGAAACAGAAGAAAGCAGAGCGTCGCGGGCGTCGAAGTCGGCGTGTCAGCAGAATCGAGCGCTAGGGCGAGACTGACTCGACAAGGTCGCGGGCGGCCTCTTATCTAGAGTACGTCGCTATCTCGAAGATTCGGCGAAAGCGGCTCGAGCGTCGCGTGATCGGGGCGAGAATGAACACGCACTTTCTAGAAAACAAAAGCAGAGGATACATGGATATAAATAATAGAAGTTACGTGCGTGCGCTACATGAATAAACGGGAACTTTCTGGAGGTCCGAGACCGAGCGTTGCTTTCTCAGCCCTGCGCGCGGCATTACTCCCCCCTTTAAAAAGTGCATCGTCCCGATGCAATCCGAAAACAAAACAAATAAAAATAACGGAAAACTAAAGAGTCATTTGGAACACATAAGGTCCACAGTCCTATCGAGCGTAGTACGGCTTCAGTCGCACGACGTGGACGACTTCCGGACGTGGAGGGCGGCGTGACGAAGTCCGTGTTCCGTCGGGCATCACTTCGTAGTTCAGATCCCCGAGTCGACGAAGCACTTTGTAGGGTCCAAAGTATCGTTTCAGCAATTTCTCACTGAGGCCGCGGCGACGGATGGGCGTCCATACCCACACCCTATCTCCGGGCTGGAAGTGGACGTCCCTGCGACGAAGGTTGTAGCGGCCGGCGTCGACGCGTTGCTGGTCTTGAATCAGGAGTCGGGCGAGCTGGCGAACTTCTTCGGCGCGTTGAGCAACCGCCTGGGCGTCGTCGCTCTCGTTGTCAGATGGCTCATGGGGCAGCATGGCGTCCAGCATGGTCGTTACTTTGCGCCCATGCACCAGTTGAAAGGGTGTCACTCCGGTGGTCTCTTGTACGGCCGTGTTGTAGGCAAATGTGACGTACGGCAACACCTCGTCCCATGTCTTGTGCTCCACGTCGACGTACATGGAGATCATGTCGGCGATGGTTTTGTTGAGTCTCTCCGTCAGCCCGTTGGTCTGCGGGTGGTACGCCGTGGTGCGACGATGGCTGGTGTGGCTGAGACGAAGGACTTCTTGCGTCAGCTGGGCCATGAATGATGATCCACGGTCTGAGATCAGGACTTCGGGAGCGCCGTGCCGGAGGACAATGGACTCGATGAAAAACTTGGCGACTTCAACAGCCGTTCCTGATGGAAGGGCTTTTGTCTCGGCGTACCGCGTGAGATAATCGGTTGCGACGATTATCCATCGGTTTCCTTGCGTCGACGGTGGGAAAGGTCCGAGTAAATCCATACCGATTTGCTGGAATGGGGCAGATGGCGGCGCAATAGGCTGAAGAAGTCCTGCCGGTCTCGTCGGTGGCTTCTTCTTTCGTTGACACTCGTGGCACGATCGGGTGTAGTGGTGTACTGTCTTCGCAAGCTTGGGCCAGTAGTACTTTTCGCGTATCCTCGCAAGAGTCCTGCTGTAACCAAGGTGTCCCGCCGTCGGGTCATCGTGGCAGGCTTGAAAAATTTCTTCTCGAACACTGGAAGGGATCACCAACAGCCACGCCGTGTTGCTGTCGCTGAAGTTCTCCTTGTACAGTACGCCTTGTCGGATGGAGAAGGTTGGCAGTGTTCGAACAAAACCGCGGGGAACGGCGCTTCCTTGCCCCTCTAGGTGTTCGATGAGTGCTCGCAGCTCAGGGTCGTCTCGTTGGAGTGCTGCCATGTCGCTTACATCCAGAGCGCCGAGGAAACACTCATCGTCGTCCTCTTTGGTGCAGGCAGGACCGGCCTCGACTGGGGCCCTTGACAGGCAGTCGGCGTCATTGTGCTTCCGGCCGGACTTGTACACCACGGCCATGTCGAACTCCTGTAGTCGTAGGCTCCACCGAGCGAGGCGTCCGGAGGGGTCCTTCAGATTCGCCAGCCAGCAGAGCGAGTGGTGGTCTGTGACTACGCGAAAAGAACTTCCATACAAATATGGGCGAAACTTTGTTATTGCCCATACGACAGCGAGGCACTCCTTTTCGGTCGTTGAATAGTTCCTCTCCGCTTTAGACAGCGTCCGACTTGCGTATGCGATAACTCGCTCGGCTCCGTCCTGCACTTGGACTAGTACCGCACCCAGTCCGGTGTTACTGGCGTCGGTGTGGATCTCGGTTTCAGCAAACTGGTCGAAATGGCCAAGAATCGGGGGCGTCTGGAGTCTTCGTTTGAGCTCGTCGAATGACCTCTGGTGTTCTTCTGTCCACTCGAACTTTACGCCGTCCTTCGTGAGGTGCGTCAGCGGTGCGGATAGCTTGGCGAAGTCTCGAACAAAGCGCCTGTAGTAGGCACAGAGTCCGAGAAATCTTCTCACGGCCTTCTTGTCAGACGGCGGCGTAAATGCAGCTACGGCGCGGGTCTTCTCGGGGTCAGGTAGAACACCCTTGTTGTTCACGACGTGGCCAAGGAACTTTAGTTCCCCATAGGCGAACCGACACTTTGTTGGCTTGAGTGACAGGCCGGCGGTCTTGATGGCTTGAAGCACGGCTCGAAGTCGTCTGAGGTGTTCGTCGAAATCTCGTGAGAATACCACGACATCGTCCAGGTAGACGAGGCAGCTCTGCCATTTCAGACCTGCCAGCACGGTGTCCATGACGCGCTGGAAGGTAGCTGGTGCTGTACAAAGTCCGAACGGCATCACTTTGAATTCGTATAGTCCGTCGGGAGTGACGAAGGCAGTTTTCTCCCGGTCACGTTCGTCGACTTCAATCTGCCAATAACCACTCTTCAGGTCCATCGACGAAAAATATCGGGAGTGGCGCAGTCGGTCTAACGTATCATCGATGCGGGGGAGCGGATAGACGTCCTTCTTTGTCACGGCGTTCAGTCGACGATAGTCCACGCAGAACCGCAGGGTTCCGTCCTTCTTCTTTACAAGGACGACTGGGGACGCCCATGGGCTCCTTGAGGGTTGAATGATGTCGTCGTCGAGCATCTCCTGGACTTGATCTTGAATCACTTTCCTTTCCTTTAAGGAGACCCGATACGGCGACTGGTGGACAGGAAGTGCGTCGTCGTCGGTAACAATGCGATGTTTCGCCATTGGTGTTTGGCGAATCTTTGATGTCGTGGCAAAACAGTCACTGTATTCGGCAAGGAGATCAATCAGTTGCCGGCGCGTCGTAGCTGGGAGCTCGGGGTCAATGTCGAGCGGCGGCGGCGTCGTGCTTTTCTGCTGTGGCGACGAGGTTTCCTCGGAGATTGCGGTGACCACCGCTTGCGCTTGAAGCTCCTCGACGTGGCCCACGGTGGTACCCTTCGTTAGGTGCTGCGGCTCCTCTCGAAAGTTCGTCACAAGAACAGTTGTACGTCTTTCTTGGAGATCCGTTACGCCTCTTGCGACGCCAATTCCTTTTTCGAGGAGCAGTTGGACGCTGCCTTCCAGAAGAGCTTCACCGTGCATGGCTGCGTCGGTTATAACGGTGATGAAAACACTCGACCGCGGCGGTAGTTTCACATGGTCGGCGATAACTCGGATCGCGGTGGACGTCGTGTTGATCTCCTCCGGCGGCACGACGGGCTTTCGAAGCGTCAACTGGTTTGCAGCGAGGTCGATGACGGCGCCATACTCGCAGAGAAAGTCCATTCCGAGGATAACGTCCCTCGAACAGTCTTGCAGAACGACGAACTTCACAGGGCACGTTTCACCGTGGATCTCAACGCGAGCAGTGCATCTCCCGACCGGCGTGATGAGATGTCCTCCGGCGGTTCGTATTTGGGGTCCATCCCACGGCGTCATGACTTTTCGAAGGCGGCGGGAGAGCCTCCCACTCAAGACTGAGTAGTCTGCTCCGGTGTCCACGAGTGCCGATGCGTCGAGGCCGTCGATCACAACGTTCAGGTTGTTAGACACCGATGCAGGAGCGTCGTTGTGATGCTTGGGGTCGGGAGAGTGGGAGCGCTCCGTGGTTCTTGGAGGCTCTTTACGTCGGTTGTCTTCGGCAACTCCACCTCCAGGGGTTGCCGCGCCTAGTTTCCCCGGTGAGGAGCGAGGGGTGACAGGCTTTCACGTCGGGGTCGGTGCATCGGCGAAGCTGGACGTCGGGGCGATGGCGACCGGAACTCTCGGCGGGACGCAGGCTCGGGGGACTGGGGTCGTCGCAGGTACTCGTCGATCTCCCGAGGGCGTTCACCATACCGGGGGCGCGGGTCGTTTGGGTGGAATCCGCGCAGCCCGAGTCGTCGGTATGGGCATCGGCGGTACACATGGTCGGCTTCCCCGCAGTGGTAGCAGAGCGGGCGTCGGTCGGCCGTTCGCCACACATCGGTCTTCCGGGGTACACGGGGCTCCTGGCTGGCGTACTGGAGCTGGTCGTCGCGGCGTCGGTCGTGCTGCGGCGCAGGAGACTGACGTCGGGGCGGCGCGACATAGGCTCGATGAGGAGGCGGTGGCCGTCGGGCCACTGCGGCGTAAGTTAGCGCGGGTTCTTCGGGGACTGCTGCGCTGATGGGGGCCTCTGGTTGAATGGCTCTCTGCACCTCTTCCCGCACGACCTCAGCGATGGAGAGCGAAGCTGGTCGGTCAGCGGCGGGTAGCAGCTTTCGCAGCTCCTCCCGGACGACGTCGCGAATGATCTCGCGAATGCCTGGGATGCTGGAGCCAAGGTCGCAAGCGGACGGCGGAACCGCGATGACGCCGGGTAGCCTCTGGTAGTGGCTGGCTCGGGCTTGCAGAGCACGCTCGATGTTCGTCGCTTCGGTTACAAATTCTTGAATCGTCGTCGGTGGGTTGCGTACGAGGCCACCGAAAATGTCGTCCTTCACGCCGCGCATCAGGATACGCAGCTTCTTTTCCTCGGTGGACTGAGGGTCGGCGCGGCTGCTCAGGCGGAGGACGTCTTCAACGAAGCTGGTTACCGTTTCGTTGGGCCCTTGAGTTCGTACTTGAAGGAGGTCTTCCGCTCGCTGTCGTCGTGTCTGGTTCGTGAATGTCTCCTTCAGGCCAGCGATACAGGTGTCCCACGACGTAAGCGACGCCTCGTGGTTCTCGAACCACTGCCTCGCGGTACCCTCCAAGGAGAAGTAGAGGTTTTGGAGGCGCTGCTCAGTGGTCCATCCATTATGGCGTGCTACACGTTCGTAGTGCAGGAGCCAGTCCTCTACGTCTTCGTGGGTCTCGCCATGGAAGGTCGTCGGGGTTCGCTGGGCAACAGGCAGGTAGACGACGGCGGCGGCGGTCGGGGACTGCGATTGCTGGTCGTCCATCGTCGGCCTCGTAGGCTGCCTGGTCCTGGGTGGCAGAAGTCCGTATTCCGGGTGTAGACCTTGGGTTCGGCGACTGGTCCGAGTTTCAGGTTCCGCGTTGAGTGGTCTTGTCACAGGGCTTGAAATCGGGCTTGAACTGCGGGCCCCGGGAGGGGAACGCTGTACGGGCATGCGGTACCCCGCACCTCCACCAAAATGTCGCGGTTGGTGACCAAAAGAAAACAGGAAATAAACAGGGAGAAATAAACGTTTAATGTGGCGAACTTGTGCCGAAAATAAAGAAGGAAACAGAAGAAAGCAGAGCGTCGCGGGCGTCGAAGTCGGCGTGTCAGCAGAATCGAGCGCTAGGGCGAGACTGACTCGACAAGGTCGCGGGCGGCCTCTTATCTAGAGTACGTCGCTATCTCGAAGATTCGGCGAAAGCGGCTCGAGCGTCGCGTGATCGGGGCGAGAATGAACACGCACTTTCTAGAAAACAAAAGCAGAGGATACATGGATATAAATAATAGAAGTTACGTGCGTGCGCTACATGAATAAACGGGAACTTTCTGGAGGTCCGAGACCGAGCGTTGCTTCCTCAGCCCTGCGCGCGGCAATATTGCTGCCCTGTATCGGGATTCCTTTCCAAAAACTTGTACCTTCTCGCAGTTGGAGCTTTATAGAATGTCGGTACTTGTATACCCCACAAAGTGGAGCTTAAAAATATTGAAATTCCTTAAAGCGTCGATACTTGTGAGAGCAGCGACGTCTTTCTTAAGCCGTCACGGACAGCTTGAAAAACGCAGGCGTGGTGAGTTTTGGGCATCATATTGTCGCAGTCAATGAAACTGCAGGGATGCTCAAGAACGAATGCCGAAATGTATAATAAGCCACGCGTTTCTTTCGCTGGCGGTGAGAGTGTGGGAAGAGTGCGCTGACCCAGTGTCGTTTCTCTCTCTTTTCTGTGTGCACGGCCCCGGTGGACCCGCAGCTGTTCATGATCGACAACTGCGCCGACGACTGGCGCATCGCCATGACTCCACGGCGCGTGGCGCAGATCCTGGCCGAACTGGCGGTGTGTGCGGTGCACCCTCTGCCCGGGGACCAGCGCTTCACGTGGACCACGAAGCTGGCCAACCACAGCAACCGCATCCGGTCGCGCGAAGTGCCCGTGGACGTGACACTGTCGCTGCCCATGTTCCTGCGGCTCTACCTCATCTGCCGCGTGATGCTGCTCCACAGCAAGCTGTTCACGGACGCTTCGTCGCGTTCCATCGGCGCCCTCAACAGGATAAACTTCAACACGCGCTTCGTGCTCAAGACCCTGATGACCATCTGCCCCGGCACGGTGCTCCTCGTCTTCATGGTCTCCTTGTGGATCATCGCCTCGTGGACGCTTAGGCTCTGCGAGAGGCCAGTGCTTTGCTCTCTTCCCTCCTTCACAATCCGCTTCCTTCTCCCGACCCTTGTCGGGGCGATGAAGGTTTTTGCCTAGCCTATGTCCACGGGTACGCGGATTTTTTCAGTGTTTATAGGAGAGAGACCACTAAACGGCCAACACTGCTTTCCAACGTACTAAAATCAGCTTTTTGGCCACCTGAGTCATCTATACTCCGGTACCGCATAATCACAAACTTATTTTATTGTGTGGCTGGCTGAATCAATGACGCCATACAACAAGGCATAGACGCCAACACGCTGATCACATACAAGTCCGCGTTCGCCTACACCAGGTGCGGGCCGTGCGCGTGCGCAGAAAAACAAGGTTAGCACTAAATGACGCATCTGCGCATGCTGCCGCGCCGACAGTTGAGCCACAGCCCCGGTGTGACATCAGAGTCGTGCCTCCATGGCGATGAGGTGCAAACTGCGACGGCCTTTGTACACCAAAGTAGCACCGGTGGCTCGGAAACTAAGCGCCGGCCTTTAATACGCGGTGGTACCTCGGCTTGTTTGGTCCCCAGCCGAAGTGCCCGCAGTGCGAAGGAACGTAATGCGGCGAATACTCGGTGTAATCCAGATTTTGGTTAGACGTCAAAGGAACCCCAAGAATGCGACTATCTCATCCGGCGGTTAAAATAACCGCAAAACGAATTTTCTGGTCGCCTGACCGGCTCAGAGTACAGAAAGTACCCAACGTTCCAGCCGATTCCACTCAGAAGACGCTAGCCTCCTTTGTAATTCAATTTAATTCTCGCCTAGACCGACTTTTCCCAGAATTAACTCTATATGCCGCTTGTGTAACTTTATATGCCGCTTCTCAAGTACAGAAATGAGGTTCATTTCACTTACATTTCAGCTACACCCTTTTTCAGCGTGCGGAGTCTGATTTTAATAGTCGAGGAATCGAGGCAAGGACGGAACTACAGCAGCCATTTGGCTTTCTCGAGGTAAATTATATTGAGCTGCGTTGTCAAGGCTGGCGTAGCTTTCGCTGTTCTCAAACGCTGTAAAAGTTACTTGCGCGAGCTCGTCGCTTTGTTTTGGCGGCTCCTTCTCACGAGAGCGCGTGCGGATGAGACGCAAGACGAAGGCACGTGCTCTCGTCGCCGTGCTGGGCTGCAGCGCCGTGAAAGCAACGCTAACCTTGGCCACGTAGCAGAAAATGGTTTACTGGGAGTTTTATTTTACATATACCCAGGGTCGTGCCAAATACACAACAAAAGCATTTAAGGTAAGATACTAAATACCAATATAAAAATGTATTTTGAATAGTATTCAAATTATTTTTAGTACGAACTATATTCCGTGGAGTAGAATACTATGATAAAGTAATTGATTTACTTTCGAAGATACTTGGCAAGTTTTGCAAGCTGGTAATATAAGAATAATAAGTCAGAAAGGGGGCGCTCGATTTTTTATGACTTCTCTGAAAATCACATTCTGCCTTAATTTTTTGACCTTCAAGAAGCGCCTTAGCCGCTGCAATTCAAGTTTGCTCTGAAATAATTCGGGATATGCAATGTAATGCGGTACGATATATTTTGGGAACAAACGGGGCTCATGTATTGTAGATGTGGCATCTGCCGTGCTTCAGTTTGACGGCAGGCTCGGCCCATGACGCATTCAGCAATAAGTTTGTAAAACGCCCCACCGCGATTACGGGGACTTGGCATGTTGTCCGACATTGCACATTCATAACAGCTGAACTAGAAGTTTATCAGGCAGACAGACTTGTTGATGAATACGCATGTGAACAACACACCTAAACGCTCAGGAGAGAAATCGAATTCGGCGGCCTCTGTCCCCCCAGTCAAAGCGAGGAGCGCCTGTACCTTCAAATGTTCTAATATATACATATATATATATATATATATATATATATATATATATATATATATACAACAATATAGAAATCAAGAGGGAAATGCAGGAAACAAAAGAGGGTGTCCACAAAACCTCTTCTAAACCCTTTCTTCTGACCTTTCTGCAACGGTGCAAACAATTATTGACGCATTGAGGTCAATATGGTCAAGATTACAGAATCAAGATCTACTAGTTCATAAATTATTCCACCTGGCAGAAAACGAGTTTCGAGAATTTGAAGGATGAAACGATGCGCGCATTCGGAAAGAGATAAAAGACACGCAAATAAAATAACCTGATGGGCTAGTTGGTTATACATAAAGCACACTACAGTGCAAAGGACAAGGACAAGATAAAGATGTATACAGCACAAGTGCTGATTATGTCCACGTCTTTTTCTTGTCCTTGTCCTTTGCGCTGTAGTGTGTATTATAGATGAAAGACACGATTTTGAACGAGCTTCGGAGCAAAGGCTAAGCCACAATAGGCACACAGGGAGATTTTGCGAAGCCCAATCTAGGTTGCTGCAGCTTAATAAAGCCCGCAGGATCTAGCTTCCTTGGCCGAGGGAGTGCCTGTGCTCGCAAGAAAACATGTTCGCGTATTTGTATACTGGAACCGCCTGAACCGGCGATTTCTGAAAACTGTTATCGTACCGAGCGTTGACGTCATGATCCTTCTTCTGACGGAACCACTCTAGCTTCAAAGAAAAGGTGGGGTCTGAGTGTAAAACCCAGGTGACGTCAGCAGCACTTTGCTAGCACCAAGAGTAACGAGCCATTCAAAGATAGCTTGAAGAAGAAAAGTGAACGAGGGAGCACGTAGAGGCGGACGTACTTAAAGGCTATCCATTTGGTCTTTTGTTGGCATGTGGTGGCTGCGTTTTGCGCTTGCCTTGTTCCCTGTTCTGCGTTCGGTCGCTTGGCTCCAAGTTTGCGCTCGGTTGAACCTTTGACCTGGAGTCTGACGATCCCTAATTCCGTTAATTGTTCCGGCCATTTTTTTTCAAGGTTCCAAAACATATTTGAGGTACTGAGTACAATATAATGGGAAATTTAATTAATATAGTGTAGCAAATACTCTAAACTAAATGTATTCGCTAGATACCAAAATACAACCAAAGGTATTTGAAATACCGTGTCTTGAGCAGAATATGTGAGATAGGCACAACTCTGTATGTGTACCTTGTCACCACCAAGCCGGTCGTGTGACCAAAATATTTCGTTTGAGGCTATTATAGCTGCCTCGGAGGATGCCCGCATTCACCAGCGAGCCGCCTCGAGTGGGCGAAGCGAATCCTCATTCCTTCACCGGGAGCGACGATGTGCGCGTAAACCCCTAAATTTGACTTTCATATTCGCAACTCCAGAGGAGGCGACGCCAACTTGCGCGAACGACGCGAAGCACAGAGACGCGGGTGTCTTCCGCCTATTCGAGCGTGCAACGACCAATCGCGTTTTCTTGCGGCGGGAAGCCGAAAGAGAGGAAAGGGGATTACATTCCCGCCGTTGGAGTGCACAGCCGTTTACTCGCAAGCCCGTGTTTGCCCACGCCAGGTGCGCGGCACTGCGTGCACACAGAAACTACATTCCCGTGCACGCCAAGTTTCTGCGCGCGCTCCACGCCGACAGCAGCGCCTTTACAGCGAAATGATATCAGAGACTTGCGTTGAGTGCAATGAGGGGACACACTGCGCTGGTTTCCATGCGTCTTTCCAGTACTTAACACGCAGGTAAAAAGTGCCGGGTAACTGGGCCTTGGAAGCGAGGACGGCGTCTACTAATACTCGGTAGAAAAAGCTACCGCGCTTGCCCAGATCACTTTCCACAGCCCAGTAGACCAAGATGGCAGCGCCCAGACGGCTATACTTGAAATGGCATAGTATACGAGAAGCGCACCGCTTTGGGTTTGAGTAAGCTACTTCGCTCTTCATTGGCTTCAAAGAAGAAAGAAACGTAGCCGAGACTGGATTGTGAATCTTGGGCTGTAATGCGAGTTGTACTATAACTCGTTAAAAACAAACACGAACGATAACGGGACGCGAAAACCATATAGCTTTACGAGGAGTGGTAGAATAATATTAATGTATGGCGAACCCAAGCTGCCTAATCTATATGTGGAAGTGGAACATGAGATACTTTGTCTTAGCGCAAACCAGTTCAAACCTACACGAATTCGCTATTTCGTGATGATAGCGTGCTCGTCTTTATACAGAACTTGGACATTCTGAACGCAATAGTGGCGTCGTCAAATCTCCTCCTTTCCCCATATTTATCATATATTAAACATAGATATTTATTTACTCTTTTTTTATTTCACCCTTTTTTCATATTAAGAACAGCTTGGTATAGTCGCTCGACTTTCAACTTTTATTTTGTTGTTATTACCCCCGCTCCCTATATAAGCAGACGACTCACTCTACCTTCCTCAAAACCGGATGCAATGTGCAGCTCTTGCTAATTCAAAGCTGTACTTCAGTAAAATGAGTCTGTTTGCCCCGAGGGAATGTTTCAAGAAGAAGATGAGTGGAAGGACGCAGACGGGGCTGAACCTGGTTGTTGGCGCAAGTTCTTAGAAAATACTATGTCACTTGTTTTCTTCCAGATTTAGAAATATTTTCGCGTCCAATACCCGGGGCATTTTATATGTCACGTGGATATTACGTTTGACGTCAATATTTGTTTTTACGTAAGTTCTCTCTAAATCGAGACTGAATGGAACAAATTCGATCACTACACTTTAAAGCAAGCCGTGATATAATGTATAAAACTCTTTTCGTGTGGTACTTCTTGGAATCCCTTTGTGCCTACGAAACTAGTTCCGAACGAGCACGGGTATCATGTACCAATGTGTTTTTGTTTTATTGTTACGCGTTCAGCAGCTGTAGAACAAGAGGTCGGCTGGATCTTTTCTTTTAAAAACGAAAACATTAGTTGAAAAAAAATCGTCGTTGGGTTCACTTTGTCCTAAGCAAAGTGTTTCCCCGAACTAATATTCTTCACACGTGTGTTCGTGGTTAATCGTAGAGATTGTGGCACAAGTCGAGGTTATACATATATGTACAGAGGACGCGGTGCGGCGATGCTTCTCTTAATAATGCAAGAGATTGTAGGTATTGCTAGCGAGAAATGCAGTCATGCACCGTTTCTTTAGGTCGTTTAGTGTCTCCTGGCCGGGCGTCATGCGAAG